GGGGTTGGAGAGTCTGGGTCAGGGTGGGAGAAACCTGGGCGCAGGCGGCGCGGGTGGAATCCTTGCCCTGGGGCTCCCGGGGGCTGGGGCGCGCGGCATGCTTCGGCCCGATCCATTTTATTAGCATAAAGGCCCTTAGCGCAGGTGACGTAGGAGAACCCCTTGGGGAGCTTTAGAAGAACACCATGCTGGACCCCATCCCTAGAAATTCTGATTTAATTGGTCAGGGGTGAGGCCTGGGCTTGGGTGCTATTGATTAGGTGATTTTAACGTGCAGACCGGCTGCAGATCCATCTCGAGTTTCAGCGCCAGCCCCCGAGTAACGCGCTCCTGCGGGGGAGGGGGAGGGAGAAGGCCCCTCCCCTAATCAGGTGAAATTCCTTTTCCAGCCGGAGGAGGAGGGCAGCCCACCCGCGTGGGTTCCCCCAAAGCCCTGGCCGGTCGGGCCTTGCTGTGGGGACACTGGGCAGGAAGACAAGGCTCCCGATAGCCAAGCAGAAGGCAGAACTGAGAGATCCAGTGGGACCTGGGGGTGCTGCCCTTCCCGAGGGTTGGAGAATGCTCATACTGGCCTTTTAGGGGCAAATCCACCCACCATGTATTCGTTGAGCACCTACTGTGGTGAAGGAGCCTGGTGGAGCAGGGAGCAGAAATCAGAAGTGGGTCTGACCTGGCCCTGCCCTCAAGGAGCCCATCGGAGGCGGGAGGAGGATAAGGGAGGCATTTGGATCCTGATGCAGGAGCCAAGGGATTTGAAAAGAGGAGAGAACACCTGACTGCGTGTCGTTTGGAAGGCTGGTGCCGCTAACCTGGGCCTTGAATCAGCAGGATTTGATAAAACGGAGGTGGGCAGGGTGACGCGAGAAATGCTGAAATGTTTTAGTCAAAACCCCCGTTTTGAATCTTGGCTTCAGCACTTAATCTCTCTGTGACTTGGGGCCAGTTATTTAACCTCCTGAGCCTTAGATGGAGATAATAACCAGAGTTGTAAGGACTCATGATAATGGATATAAAAAATTGACAAATCCTATACACTTGAGAAATGGTGCATAGTTACAGCAAGGGTAGTGAGGAGGAAGGAGCAGCATGAAGGAAGTTGTGAAGGTGGCATTTCAAAAGAGAATCTGAGGTTGGGAGTATATACCAGGCAGACAGAAGCAACAGTGTTGGCTGCTAGAAAGACAACTTCAGTCATGGGTTTGACAGAAGGGAGACTGACTGAAATCTTTAAAAGATCATGAAACCAAATGTCAGAGACATGAAAAAAAAAAGTATTAATAGCTACTGTTTATTGAGGGTCTTCTATGTGCCAGATACTGTGCTTGATACTGTGTCTACCTTTTGCATTTCAGCCCACAGCAATTTAAGAGGTTGACTTTGTCATTCTCACTTTATAGATGAGTCTGAGGCCCAGGGAGAGGGAGTGGCTGGCTCAAGACCACACAGCAGGGAACGGTATGGCTCTCCACAAAGTGCCAAGGTGGGGGTGGATTCTGTTACAGGATATTTCAGCAGGCTATGCACGAGGTTGGGTGGGCTCCTGCTCTTTCTCCCTCGGGGAGGCAGGGATGTTATTCTCTGCTAGGGTGGATCGAGGGTGGGAGGCTAGTAGGGGAAGGCATTTTCTGATGGAGGAGCAGAATCTGGAAGAGAAACCCTGTGAGTGACCCTGCACACTCCCCTCGCAGCTTCTGCTCCTGGACACAGGCTTAGCTGGACAGGCTGCTTGGCCTCTAGCCCTGCCCTGTGCTGGGGGCTTGTCTCTGGCATTCCCGAATATTGTATTTGCCCCTGCTCATTGCAGGCCCTCCTCTTCTGACTTTTAAAAGTCTCTCCACTTCCTTTACCACCATCAGAAGAGACCTGACTGCCAGGATATTGCCCTGCTGCTGCCCTGATCTGTTATAAGTGAGCCCAAGGAAGAGCCAGTTTCTGAGCATCTTTCATGTGGTTTGCCTGGTGCTCAGGACATTAGTTTAATCCTCCCTGCACTCCTATCAACATGGCATTATGACCCCATCTTACAGGTAAGAAAACCAGGACTCAGACTGGTTAAGTGGCTTGCCTGAGGTTACACTCTTAGTAGGAAGTGCAGTTGACATTAAACCCAGACCCTTCTGGTGGCACAGTCATAGCCTTTCCATCTCATCCCCTCAAAGGTTTTCTACTGTTGTCCCAGTGGGGGAGCCTGGAGCTTGTGAACTTGCCTGCAAGGTTTACCTTCTCCAGCAACTGGGGCAGGTCACTGGACATCTGGGTGGGAAAGGGAGCGTCACTGCCTTGGACAAAGGCTTTGGAGGTGAGGTAGGGGAGTTCTGATTCCCTGGGGGATCAGAGAAAGTGAGCCAGGTTAAGATTAGTAACAGGAGTACATTGTGCTTTACAGCCCCAAGGCACCTTTATACCCCGTCCTTGTGTGGTGGGTAGGGAAGGCTTCAGAGGTTCAATAGTAATAATCTCTAACGTGCTCACCACACTTACCATGCTGAGTGCTGTAGGGTCTTTTCTCATTGACTCACTGACCACTAACAGTAGCCTTAGGAAGGTTGGCCCCTATTGCAGATCAAGAAGCAGGCATAAAGAGGTTAAGCAAATTGCTCCAGGGCACACAGGGACTAAATGGTGAAGTCAGGACTTGGAAGACCTCCAGTGTGTCTTCTCTCAGCTCTGTTACTTAGAAAGTGCCAAGGGCACTTGTAGGGTGACGGATCTGTTCATGATCTCCGTTGTGGCGATGGTTTCACAGGTGCATACATGTTAAAACTGATCAGACTGTACACTTTGAACATGTGCAGATTATTGTGTGTCAGTGATACCTCAATAAAGCTGTGAAAGAAAAGAAAAGCATTTCCCACCAACCGTTCCTTCAGAGGCTCAAAGTTCCAGAGAGAAGCCACTTGGCCATCTTCCTGCTTTGGGGCAGGGTAGGACCATTGTGGCCTGGGAGAGGTTCTCATAGACTTAGTGGGTGGTTTCAGGTAGTTTTGGCTGCTTCTCCTTCTCTCCTTCCTCCACCACTAGGCATGGACTGGCAACAGGCTGGGGGTGCGTACAGATCTCTTGAGTAATTGCCACTTGGCTTCCAGTGAGTCTGAGAGCGACCCAGGGAGATTCTCTCCTCTTCTCCCATCAGACCCTCTTTCTTTACTAGTCAGTTACTCCCAGAGCAAGAGTGTCAAGTTCAGCCCATTCTCCTTGAGAGGGAGATAGAGGGAGAAGACACAGGCCCTGTCCCCGAAGGCCCCCAGTCAGGCTGCAGTGGGCAGGCAGGAGAGTCTGCTGTGCAGGGGCAGAAGGCATCAGTGAGGGCCGAGGAGTTGGAGAAGGTCTCCTGGACACGGTGCTGGCTCCTAAAGGATGGGGGAGATGGAGATGGGGAGGTGGGGAGGGTGCTTCTCATGGGAGGCTCCAGCAAGCACAAAGGCCTGGCCAGAGGAGAAGGTGGCTTGAAGATGCAAGGCAGGCCTGGCTGGACAGGCTGGGAGAGGCCAGACAGCAGAGGCCCCTGAAGGCTCCGCAGGGAGCGGGAGCCATGGCTGGTAATGGGGGAAGGACCGGTCCTGTGGGGTCATTACTGTTGGACTGGGGCTGAAGTCAGCTCTCTAGGGCCTGACCTTGCTGGGAAACAAGTTTTGGCACTGTGTGTGTGAGTATGTGTGAGCATGCGTGCATGTGTATGTGTGTGCTCACCCACACGCACATGTGTGCATGGACATAGAGATGAGGCCCATGGGCAGGTTTGGGTCACAGAGGCTCAGCCCCCAAGGGTGGGTATAAGTCTCCTAGGGTTGCTGTAACAAATGACCACAAACTGGGTAGCCTGAAAAACCAAAACGTATTCTCTCACAGTTCTGAAAGGTAGAAGTCCAAAATCAAGGTGTCAGCAGGGCCACGGTCCCTCTGGAAGGCAGATCTAGAGGTGTCCATCCTTGCCTATTGCGGCTTCTGGCGTTTGCCCTAATCCTTGGTATTCCTTGACTTGTCGCTGCATCACTCCAATTTCTGCCTTCGTCTTCATCTGGCATCTCCCTGCTGTGTGTGTGTGTGTGTCTGTGTCCAAATTTCCATCTCCTTATAAGGAAACCAATCATGGGATCAGGGCTCATGCTAATTCAGTATGACCTCATTTTAACTTGGTTACATCTACAAAGGCCCTATTTCCAAGTAAGGTCACAGAGGTACTGGAGGTTAGGACTTGAACACATTTTTTGGATGCAATTTAATTCCCAACAGGGAGTGTGAGAAAAGGAAGCACCCATAGCTTCCTGCTGGGGGTCAGTCAAGCACACATGGGCTTGTTTCTCTAAAAAGAGAACGGCAGCTTTGAGCCTAACAAAAACGATGGACTTAATGCCTCACTGTTTATTTTATTTATTTATCTATTTTTAAAATATATTTATTTTTATTGATTTCTTACAGAGAGGAAGAGAGAGGGATAGAGAGTTAGAAACAATGAGAGAGAGCCTAACAAAAACGATGGACTTAATGCCTCACTGTTTATTTTATTTATTTATCTATTTTTAAAATATATTTATTTTTATTGATTTCTTACAGAGAGGAAGAGAGAGGGATAGAGAGTTAGAAACATCTATGAGAGAGAAACATCGATCAGCTGCTTCCTGCACACCTCCTAGTGGGGATGTGCCCGAAACCAAGGTACATGCCCTTGACCGGAATCGAACCTGGGACCCTTCAGTCCACAGGCCGACACTCTATCCACTGAGCCAAACGGTCAGGGCAACGCCTCACTGTTTAAAGTGCACTCATGGACCAGCAACGTGGTGTCACCTGGGAGCCTGTTAGAAATTCTGAATCTCAGATTCCTCCCCAGACCTGAGGAGGAACTACGTCTCAGCACAGTCCTCAGGTACATTTCAGTTGGAGAAGCAGTGCTCTATTAAAAATCCTACCTTTATTTCCTTTCCCACCCATGACCATCAGTCCAGCCAGCCAGTTTCTGCACAAATCGGCCTGGTTGGAAACCAGGCAACCATGCTGTCCTTTGTTCTCTCTTTTCACGTAACACGTTCTTGAGTTTCTCTTTCATGTGTCGAGTTTCTCCATGTGCTTCCGCTTTCTAGAGAGCATCAGCTTGCTGAGCCAGTCCCTTTGTTGTGTTCTTGGGCTGTGTCCAGTTTTTTGTTGTTTGTAAACGTGGCTGCCATGAACATCTCTATACACATTCCTTTGGGGTTAGCTCCTTGAGGAGGAATTTCTGGAATCAAAGTGCATGGGTAGTTGTGGACTCTTATTATGCTTCTGTATCTATGGGACTTAACGTCACAGCAGGTTTCTCCATTTTATCCAACCGTTTGTAGGAACCTGATTTGGGAGGGCAAGTGGCAGATAAGGCTTTGGAGCCAGAGAGGCCAAGGTTCAAATCTACGTTTTTGCTGTGTGACATTGGGCAAATTACTTAACATCTCTGAGCTTGGCGTTGCTCTATAATATTGTAATAGTGCTATACACTTTGTAGGGATTTTGTAAAGCGAATAATGACATCACCAACATCCATTCATTGAGCACTTTCTGTGAGTCACCTTATTTAATCTTTTAAGCGTCTCTGCAGAGTAAGTGTGATCATCTCCTTTTCCCTCGACAGGAGAGGAAACTGAGGCTTGGGTTAAGTAGCTTGCAGTTATATTGTAGGTGCACCGCCTGCCCAGGCCCAAGGTTGTCACGTCTAGATCATGAAGGGCAGATGGTGCCCATGAAAGAAGATACTGAGCACATAGCCCGAGCAAGGTTGGCCCTGGCTCAACACTTGTTGGACGCCTGCCTTTGCTTCCCACGCCTTTATCAGTTTTCTCGGGTTACTCCCGGGCATGGTGACGAACAGCACTGTTTCAGCTGTATGTCATTAACAATTCCCCAGCTCTATTTTACGTGCAAACTTTCTCCCAGTTGAAAATGAGTTTTTAAATGACTCACAGGTCTGTGGTTTGGAGCACTGCTGGCTCTGATCCTTGCAGCTAACTAGCTCCTTCTTCCCCAGGGACAAGGATGGCCAAACTGCACGTGGCCACGAGTGCATCTCAGCGCTCCTAGGCTGAGGCTGGGCTGGCAGCCATGGGGCTGGGTTGGCCCCAGGCCTGGCTGTTGGACTTGCCCACAGCTGTGGTCTATGGCTCCCTGACCCTCTTCATCACCGTTTTGCACAACGTGTTCCTGCTTTACTATGTGGACACCTTTGTCTCAGTGTACAAGATCAGCAAAGCTGCCTTCTGGGTCGGAGAGGTAGGCCAGTGCTGGGGTGGGAGTCGGGCAGATGGCAGTGCTGGGTCCCGCCAGGAGCCAGGAGCCAGGAGCGTGGGGGCAGGCCAGGCTGCCCACTGAGGCTCAGCAAGAAAAAAAGCTGAGCTGGAGGCCTTGATGACGCTTCAGTGGGGATTACACCAGCTCTGGCCTCTGTCCTATGAGCCAGGGACTGTTTTATGTATTCACATACATTAATGTATCAGCGGGGCCATGGCCAGGTGGGAGTTTGATGGGGACAGTGGCCCATAGAGTGGGTTTCAGCAGAGGGGCTGACCTGAGCAAAGTGTGCAGGCAGGAAAGCTGTTGTCATCTGTAAGAGGTGGTGAGCAGGCGGGGTAGGGGAAGCCCTGGAGAAGAAGCTGCCTGGAGCCCACCCGTCTCCCCTCTGCCCACAGACGGTGTTTCTCCTGTGGAACAGCCTCAACGACCCCCTCTTCGGCTGGCTGAGTGACCGTCATTTCCTCAGCTCCCAGCCCCGGTTTGTGTCTTGGGGGAGGCTCACCACTGGTCCTGTCCCACCCCACCCTTCCCAGGACTGGAGGACCCCCCACCTGTGTTTGGGGTGGGGAGAGAAAGGGAGACCATTTTCAGCTATTGTCAAGGCTTCCTCCGCTCCCCGAGGTCAGGGCAGACTGTCTGGGTTGGCAAAGTGGCCTTGACTAACTGTTGGCCTTGATCACCTTGTGGAGAGATGGACCTCAGGTCCGCTTGTCTGGCCCTCGGGACTGGGCACTCACTACCTCACCCTCTGCTGCTTCTGGCAGATTACTTTACCCCATCCCTGCCCATCACTGCCCCAACCCTGAAGAAATGGTATCACACCCCTCTTTGGCCCTCAGCCCTGGCAGCTGGCAAGGGAGCGGAGGAGGGAGTACCCCCTGGTGAGTTGTGCTTCCTAATTGGAGGCTGAGGACTCGAAGCTCAGTGGGACACCCTGGGGTGAGTCCCACATTCTGGGCCTCTGTCCCTCCTCTGGTCCTGAGCAGGGGGGACTGGGAACCAAGGCTGCAAGGGCACCTCCCAACAGCCCTCCTCTCCCTGGCAGGTCAGGCCCTGGGCTCTCCTCGAGGGCCGTGGTGCTGGCACGGGTGCGGGCACTTGGCTGGCATGGGCCGCTGCTGGCGCTGTCATTCCTGGTGTTCTGGGTGCCCTGGGCCCCAGCAGGCCTGCAGTTCCTGCTGTGCCTGTGCCTCTATGATAGCTTCCTGACGCTCGTGGACCTGCACCATCACGCCTTGCTGGCTGACCTGGCCCTCTCAGCCCACGACCGCACCCACCTCAACTTCTACTGCTCCCTCTTCAGTGCTGCTGGCTCCCTCTCTGTCTTTGCCTCCTACGCCTTCTGGAACAAGGAGGACTTCTCCTCCTTCCGTGCCTTCTGCGTGGCACTGGCTGCTGGCTCTGCGCTAGGCTTTGTGGGGGCCACACGGCTCCTGAGGCGGCGGGTAGAGGCGGCCGGTAGGGAGCCAGGGTGTCCAGACCTGGCTGCGGATAGCGGGTGAGTGGCCAGCACTGTTCTGAGTCTGATGTCAGTGCTGATCCCCTGTCTGATGGGTGGCTGCCCTGGGGTGGGGGTGGATCTGGCCCAGCCCTAGGCTGTTCTTGACTCCCCTCTGCCCCATAGCCTGTGTGGAGAGGAGGCGGGCAACATCACCTTGGGCCAGTACCTCTGGCAGCTGGCGCATCACCGGAACTTCCTGTGGTTCGTGGTCATGGACCTGGTGCAGGTATGGGAGCAGTCTCCCCCACCCAGGATAGGCAGGGTAGGCCTCACTCAGCGGAGTAGGTTTCTCAAACGCTGGGAAATCAGTCCTGGGCTTCGCGTGATGACTGCAGGGTGATTCGAAGGCAGGGACACAGGTTGGGTTCTAGCACCATCTGAGCTCCCAACTCCTTGTGAAGTCTTAGGCAAGTCTCAGCCTCTGGGCACTCTGTGACAAACTTTTAAAAATACCAAGTGCCACACCTAAAACACAGGTAGTATATAAGCTAGCCAGATCATTTTTATGTCATTAAGCTTGCTTTACTAAGGTGTTTTTAATTTAAAAGAAAGAAAACTTTTAACTGTTCTAATGACAATGTTATCATTCCTAACTTTTAGCAAAATTCGATAAGCAACAGGAATTGGTTTTAGGTCTTGTTGTGGCATGTTCCATGCTGAGGGACGGGGGATAAAGGCTGCTCTTGCCCGGGCCGCCCCCTGCCCGGCAGCCTCCTCACCGCCCTGTTGGGTTTCAGGTCTTCCACTGCCACTTCAACAGCAACTTCTTCCCCCTCTTCCTGGAGCACCTGTTGTCAGACCACATCTCCCTCTCCACCGGCTCCTTCCTGCTGGGTGAGTGGGTGTCTCGGGCAGGCTGGAAGGGCAGAGGCTCGCACCCCAGCACCCCTAGCCCAGCTGCAGGCACAGCCACTCCCCAGCTCGGGCCTGGGTGGCAGAGGGCAGAGTCTGTGGTGGGTTGCACCTCCAGCCCCCAGCTCTGTTTTCCTGAGGAAGGGGTGAGGAAGCCTGTTATGGGTATGAGGGGGCGGGGCTGCTCTCATGGTGGTCCGCTCGGTGATGGTGCCGCCCAGAGGCGAGACGGCACAGTGTGCCGGGCCTGGCTGTGAGTCCGGACTGTGCTTATTGACTGTTTGGCCTTGGGTGTTTTATTTCCTATCTTTGGGTCTCCATTTCTCACCTGTAAGGTAGGAGTAATAGTACTGACCTTAAAAGGCTGTGGGGATTAAATAAAAGGATGCAGATTAGCTCTCAGCACAGAGCCTGGCAAACCCTGATTCTGACTGTTAAATGTGGACAATTGTGGAAGCTGCCGCACTGTCCCGACAAGGCTGCACCCCTTCTCCTCAGGCATCTCCTATGTCGCCCCCCATCTCAACAACCTCTACTTCCTGCCCCTGTGCCGGCGCTGGGGCGTCTACACCGTGGTGCGGGGGCTCTTCCTGCTTAAGCTGGGCCTGAGCCTGCTCATGCTTCTGGCCGGCCCCGACCGCCCTGGCCTGCTCTGCCTCTTCATTGCCAGGTATGCCCTGCCCTCCCTCACCCCACACCTCTGTTGCACCCCTTCACTCTTGCCTGCTTTCTCTCTCTGCTGGCAGCAACCGTGTCTTCACGGAGGGCACCTGTAAGCTATTGACCTTGGTGGTCACTGACCTGGTGGATGAGGACCTGGTGCTGAACCGCCGCAAGCAGGCGGCCTCGGCGCTTCTCTTCGGCATGGTGGCCCTGGTGACCAAGCCAGGCCAAACCTTGGCCCCACTGCTGGGCACCTGGCTGCTGTGCTTCTACACAGGTGAGGGCCCAGGGGCTGGCAAGGGGCTTGCCTGGCATACCAGCTGACAAGCCTGGCTCTAGGTCTGGTGAGGGAGAGAATGGCAACTGGATTACCCTGGGTGCCACACCTCCTCTGCCTCTCCACCATGAGTAGAAAAACTGGGTTTCTGATTCTTCTTTCAAGAGTTCATTCATGGATTCGACAAATATGTATAGAATACTGTCTCTGCCAGGTGGTGCTCTGAGTGCTAGGGAGACAACAGTGAGACATGCGAGGCCCTCGCATTGTGAAGCTTAATTCTAGTTGGGAGGAGGGGGATGTGGTGTTATGTAGCCAAACAAGAAAATAGCAGATGGTGATAAGCACAGGGGTGAAAACACAGCAGGTCTTCAACAGATGGGGTTTTGTTCAGTGTTGTTGCATTATAATGTTGATGAGATGCTGTAGGAACTTCACTTGTTTATATCAATTAGCCTAGGCCAGTGATGGCGAACCTTTTGAGCTCGGCGTGTCAGCATTTTGAAAAACCCTAACTTAACTCTGGTGCCGTGTCACATATAGAAATTTTTTGATATTTGCAACCATAGTAAAACAAAGACTTATATTCTTGATATTTATTTTATATATTTAAATGCCATTTAACAAAGAAAAATCAACCAAAAAAATGAGTTCGTGTGTCACTTATGACACGCGTGTCATAAGTTCGCCATTGCTGGCCTATGCTAAAGTTGGTTCATTATACATTGTTTCACGTAGAGTCACAGAACTTACTGAGGACATTGAGTGAGGCCTTATTGTAATGTGTCTGAAAAGCTACTTAGTGTGGTCTGGGAAGGTCTCTCTGAGGAAGTGACAGCCAGATAGGAACTGAATGGGAAGGATTTGGTCTACAAAGATCTCAGTGGATCCCAGAGGAGTGACAAGTGCAAAGGCACAAGGTATCAGGAGTGGTTAGATCAGCGGTTCTCAACCTGTGGGTCGCGACCACTTTGGTGGTCGAACGACCCTTTCACAGGGGTCGCCTAAGACCATCGGAAAACACATATTGAATATATAATTACATATTGTTTTTGTGATTAATCACTATGCTTTAATTATGTTCAATTTGTAACAATGAAAATACATCCTGCATATCAGATATTTACATTACGATTCATAACAGTAGCAAAATTACAGTTATGAAGTAGCAACGAAAATAATTTTATGGTTGGGAGTCACCACAAATGAGGAACTGTATTAGGAAGGTTGAGAACCACTGGGTTAGATGAAGCTGGAAACGTTGATGAGGGCTCTGGAGAGCAGGGCAGGGTTTGGATTTTATTCTCAGTTCAAAGAGAAGCTATTGGAAGGGTTTTAAGCAGAGGGTGACATGGTCTGATTTGTTTTTAAGAGGTGGCTCTGGCTGCTGTATGGAGAATGGATTGTAGGGAGGCTATGACAGAGGCGATAGAGACTTGGACCAGGGTGGTGCTTGGAGGCTGGAAAGAAGTATTTGGGGTTGGGATGTGTTTTGGAGTTGGGTGGAGGTGAAGGATTGGCTGTTGGGGAGTGCTAAAGTCAACCAAGGAATCTAGGAAGACTTTGAGGCTTTTGGCCCATTGGGTGGATGGCAGAAAGGGAGGTGCAAGGTTGGGGTAGAAATCAATGTGTTTTGGTTGTGTATGTGTGGCATCTGAGATGTGGCACTGTGGACCTGAGAGGAGCACAGGGCCGACTCTGTTCTTTCTGCACGCTCTCGTCGTAGGTCATGATCTCTTCCAGCAGTCCCCACTGACCCCTGTGGGGAGGGCCCAACCCTGGCCAGAACCCCCGGCCCCACCCCCGGTTCAGGCCCCTACACTCCGCCAGGGCTGCTTCTACCTGCTGGTGCTGGTGCCCATCACCTGTGCTCTGCTGCAACTGTTCACCTGGTCCAAGTTCACGCTGCATGGGAGACGCCTGCGCATGGTCAAAGCCCAACGCCAGAATCTGTCACAAGTCCAAACCCTTGACATTAAGACAGTGTGAGAGGTGCAACAAGGCCACTCTGGTGAGGACAGTGCCCACAGCTCTGGGCAGGAGCCACTTTTGCCAGCCTGGTGTCCTGCTCCCCTGCCTTCATTGGGTGCAGCCTCGAGATCAAAGGGCAGAACGGGAGCTCCTGGGTCTGAGCCAGGAGAGTCATTGGGTCTGAAATCGTGCTTGGCTACCTGGCCCAGCTTGGGCAAGAGCTGGGCCAAATTTGCTCAGGGACCTGCTTGCCCCATGGGCAGGAGTAAGAAAAGGACCAAGAAGGGATGGGAATGCCCTGTGGTCACATGGGGTTGCCACAGGGCACAGAGGCCTATCCCCCCTGCCTGGGGCTGGGGCTTCATGTGCGCTCAGGAACCACTTTTGATACTGCCTTTCATCCAGTCAGGGGTGCTGACTGGGAGTCCCACCCACTCCGTCCCTCCACCCTTCCAGTGGTGTCTGCCATCTCTGCTTCAGTTGTGCCTGAAGTAGCATGCTCCCGCTGCTGCAGGGCTTCTCCACGCCCACCTGGCCTCCTAAGAGGTTCAGCTCATCAAACGGATTAAAGTCATTCTGTTCCCATTCCTGAGGTCTGTGCTGTGTGGGCGTGGTGGGGTTGGGGAATATGACTCATTTAATATGAAAAGCACTCAAGAGCACTTTTCCAAAGTGAGTTGAGAGGCCACCCACATCAGATTCACAGAGGCAACAGGGAGAACCTGTGGACTGGTAACTGCATGGGCACTTGGGATGCAGTCGTAGCCCCAGGGCACTTCCATGTACCACGGCAGGACACGGTGATCAAAGAGGAGCGGCTCCTCTTAGGCCAGAGCCCGCAACCTTGGAGACACCAGAGAGCTTTCAAAAATGGTGATAGGTCTGAGTTCTGTTTCCCAAGGTTCTGCTTTCATGGGTCTGGGGTTTTGGAAAGCTCTGTGGTGATTTTACCTGTGTTCTAGGCCTTGGCAGCCCTGGCCTCTGCTTAGATGCCAGTAACAGCGCCCCCTTTACTCCCCCCCCCCCCCCCATTATGACAACCAGATACTTCCAGGCATTGGCAAATGTATATGGAGGGCAAAACTGACCTGATTAAGAACCACTGCTCTGGGCCAGTGGTCGGCAAACTCATAGAGCCAAATTTCAACAGTACGACGATTGAAATTTCTTTTGAGAGCCAAATTTTTTAAACTTAAACTATATAGGTAGGTATGTTGTTATTAACTTAATTAGGGTACTCCTAAGGCTTAGGAAGAGCCACACTCAAGGGGCCAAAGAGCTGCATGTGGCTCGCGAGCTGCAGTTTGCCGACCACTGTTCTAGGCCAATGGTTTGTTGAGGGCCTCATAGTGCCTAAGAATGCAGGCTCTAGGGCAGTGATGGTGAACCTATGACGCGTGTCAGAGGTGACATGCGAACTCATTTTTTTGGTTGATTTTTCTTTGTTAAATGGCATTTAAATATATAAAATAAATATAAAGAATATGTCTTTGTTTTACTATGGTTGCAAATATCAAAAAATTTCTATATGTGACACGGCACCAGAGTTAAGTTAGAGTTTTTCAAAATGCTGACACGCCGAGCTCAAAAGGTTCGCCATCACTGCTCTAGGGCTACATAGCCTGGGTTCAAATCCTAGCTTTGGGAAATTATGTGATCTCTCTGTGGCTCTATTTCCTCATCTATAAAGTGGATGATAAAAATATACTATATAGGTTGTTGGATCAAATGGGTTAACATTTGTAAAGTGAAGGGCAATTTCCCCCCAAGTATTTAGAATTAAAATGGAGAACTGATTACTCAGAATATCTGAGCATGGGCCTCAGGAACCGAATTTTAATAAGCTCTTGAGCTTCTTACACACACGGAAGTTTTGAGAGCCTCTGACTTAGGATGTCAGATGCTGCTCCCCTCATTTGGGTGGAGTCCCACCCACAGGCTTGACAGGCTGGCACTTGGGCTAAAGATGGCCAAATTTGGCTGGGGCAACAGTGCCCTCTAGAGGACGATGAGGCCTCAGATTCGGGGGACCTCGGCTCCTCCCTCTTCCCTCCCAGCAGACAGAGGCCAGCTGACGTGTCTATTGGAAGGACTTTATTTAAGTACACTGGGCCCCACCAGGCAACGTGGTTTGTGCAAGGCTGTGTGAAGGACAGGCTTGGGCTAAAAGAAGGGAGGTGAACTGGTTAAGCACACTGCAGTCCGCGGGCCGCAACATCGCTTTCACACACACCTGCTGCTGTGGCCCACACCCAGAAGGGCCTTTCATCGTTGGATGGCATGGGAAGACTGCCTGAATCTGGGATTGGGGCAGATCTTGGTGTCAAGTGAGGGTGCCGGTGAACACTGGCCAGTCCCAGCTTTGTGCCATCGGGCTGAAGGGCCTGTGGACCACTGCTAGGCCAGCCCAGTACAGAGTACGTGCTTGGCCCCACTGGACCAGAGATGAGCCTGAGCCCACCAGTTCCTGGCACCTGGGTCTGGCCTCCTCCCTCCCTAACTACTCATGTCCAGAGTCAAGAATGGCACAATATCAGCCCAGAGGGGACCTTCTCATCTCTACTACCTAGCCCCTCAGGTCAGCTAGAGTGGGAAAAGGCAACTTGGTTCATTGCGGCTTCCTCCAATCCTAAGGGCGCTAGATCCCCCAACACCCCTCCTTTGCTAGGGCCTCTGCCAAGGAGTGATTCTACCACCTGTTTCAGAAAAATCCAATCAGCAACCAGCCTGTGGATTCCAGGGCAGTGAGCAAGTGGGAGAGGGAGAAAGGCTGTGGGAGTGACTTTGAGTGCAACCTCAGATCCCAAATGGCCTCAGCCTATGGATACTGTCAGTTCACCCTTAGCAGGGAGTGGTGGGGCCCTGGAGGCCATGCTAAGCTTAGATGCTGTAAACATTAGTGTGAACAGGGTGACTGGTGGGCAGGAGGCAATAAGCTCCCTCTCTCCAGTTCCCATACTGAACAAACAAATAAATAACATTGTTTGAAGATGGCATTGCCCAAGGATGGATGAAAAGTAAGTAATGGCCTGGAGCCAACAGGCTCCTTAAGCTCTCCCAAGATCCCCTGGATGGGGCTTGGGATTGGAATTTTAACTCTGCCGCCAATCAAAAGTAGCACTACTCCTGCCCTCCTCAAATGCCCAGTGTGGTCCTGTCCCCCAGATAAAGTTAAGAGCATCCTGCCCTCTCCTTTCCAGCCTCCCAACCCAAACTGCAATCAAAACCAGATAGAACTCAACCCCAGTTCCGGTCCTCAATCCATGATCAAGAGGCATCAAGAACAGAATGATGAACAAGGAAGGCAGAAGCTGCCTTGGGCCTCAGGGCACCCTGGGGATGGGGTGGGGGTGGGGTTTAACCAGCCTAGGATGGGCAGCAGCAAGGTCTCCCTGGGGTTAGATCTACCTCCCTCGGTGTCCCTATGGTAGGTAGTAAACATAGTCCCACACAGCCAGACAAAGGCCCAGTAGTCGAAGGAATGGGGCCCCCTGCCAGCATTCTTTCCTGTCAGGGGCCAGTTAGTGGTCAACCCCAGGCCTCAGGCTATCACCATTGTGGGTAGTTCATCGTCCTTTCTGGGCCCTGGGATCCCTGGGCCACACGGCACTCGCATAGGTGCACATACTTGTACCCACACATCCACACACACACACACACACACACAGGCAGTTCCTCGCAAACACTCCGACTCAAGAAAGCGAGTTTTAAAGTGGAGTTAACTTCAGAGAAAGATGAAGATGATGTCCCAGCATTAGAAGGTTTTCCTGTGGATGGATCGGGCACCGTCTTCCTCGTATTCCTTCTTGGAGACCCACATCTTCTTAAAGGTGTCCAGGGAGGCGAGGATAGAGCCCCTGGAGTAGAGGGAATCCAGAGGAACACTGTGAGAAAAGAGCGTGGGTATTTGCTTCCTATTCCACTCTTATCCCCTGAACTACTCACCCGATCCATGTGGAATACAGTCTCTCCTGAGGAGCAGATATCTGCAAGGGGAACAGAAAGAGGAATCTGAGACGTTCACCCTCCCCTCTCACTTTTCCTTCCAACTCTTCTTTATGGCTAATTCTCACCATCCAAGGCAGTGGACGCATTTCACACAACAGACCAAGTGGACCTGCTGGACCCTGTGGTCTCTCGCCCTAAGTACAATTCCCAGAAAGGCTGGGGCTATCTGGGGGCAAGATGCCATTGCAGGAACCACACTCCTTCACTTAGAACCCCTCCTTTCTCAGGCAGGCTAGCTCCCCTCGGCAGTCACTAAGATGTTGGACTGTCACAGGGGAGTAGCAAAAGTCAATCTCCTATTAATGCCAGTTTCCCTGGAAGACCACACGGGGGCCTTGAGCCTAGCACCCAGCGTCATCTGGGTATTAGAACTGCCCCCCTTTGAGAGGATGGAGAGTGAGAACGGGCCCTCCACTCTGGCAGACCTCAGGGTCAGTGTGGAAGTGGGAGCATCTGGCAGTACCTGTGGAGCCCTGGCTGCCTGAAAAGCTTGGGCAGAGCTGGAAAGGGGGCCACACCATATGGCACTATGGACCCTTGGAAGCCAGTTCCACCCAGCCCTAGCCTGCACCATGGTCCTACCCTGATCTTCACATCTTTCGGAGCCAGTTTCTTCACTTCACTCAGTAGCCTGTCACCAAAACCTGAATGGGCAAGAAAGGAGAATCTCAGGTCAATTCTCTGGGCATCTGGGCCCAGCAGGATCTGGAAGCTTTCTGGGGAAGGGCCCCGAGAGCAAAGACCAACCTTTGAACAGGGTGGAGCCTCCTGAGAGGACAATGTTAGAGAAAAGCGTGCGCCTCAGGTCCATGTCAGACTTCTGGATGGCAAACACCAGCACCTCGTGGATGCCCTCACTCTCCTCGCCGATCAGGTCTGGCCTGAACAGAAGCTCAGGTGCCCGGAATCGGGAAGGACCAATCTGCAGGGTGGAGGGCCAGCTTCAGAGGTGGAACGGGGGCCGAGGTCTCTGGGAAGGGGGATGGAAGAGGCCCCTGTGTCCACCTCTTAGTAAGCAGGTGGCTATGAAGTCCAGGCTTAGGAAAGACCTCAGATGTCAAGGTCTCAAGGAACAAAGATAGGGTTCTTGGGAACAAACAGGGAACAAAAAGAAACAGGGCTCCCAGGAAACTAGAGAGAGGAAGCTCCTCTGTTTAATCCTAGCTCTGGCATTATCCAGCCAAGAGACCTTTGGCATTAATACATGGACTCATTCACTCATAAAAACTTCTTCCAATCAATGGAGGTCTGGGGAGAGGCAACTCAGCCTATGCTGTGCTCAAGTAGTTAGGGCCGCACTAACCACCCTCTTCCTGATCCTATCCTGACCCAGGAAAATGCCTCTGGTGCCTCCTCTCCACACAAGAGAAGCAAAGTCCCTGGCACACACCGCTGGGCAGGAGATGGTGCTGCTCAAGAGCTCTACTGCTCCAGGCAGGGCTGACAAAGACGGGCACATCTGACTCCCGCCTCCCCATGAAGAGTTCTGTACAGGCCCAGAGCTTTTGGGGGCCTGAGGGCACAGGTTCGGACGCCTACCTCAATGGTGCTGCCATCGGGCAGGTAGTACTGAGCCTTCT